TTTTTTTTTTTTTTTTTTTTTTTTTTTTTTTTTTTTTTTTTTTTTTGGTCTTTTACATGTTTTTAAAAATTAAATTATTAATATTATTTAGTTATTTTAGATAAATAGAAATATTAAATTTTATTAAAAGTGTAAATACTCAATTTACGGGGAAGAAAAAAAAAAAGACAAAATTTGGTTAAAACCTCAAATCAACGGCGTTCTCTTCTCCTTCATTCCGATCTTCGGCCAAGGGAAAGAATTTCAGAGATTCAATCCACCTGATCCCTAACTCGCTTAATTCATCATCACAATCCACTGAAGCCTTTCACCTTCTCTTTATTCTTGTAGCTATGGGAAGGAGAAGAGAGCGGCGCCTGGCAGCTCTCAGTAACGCCGGCCGCCGTGTCAAACTCGATCTTTTCGCCGAGCCCTCCGGTAGTTTTTCTTTCTTGGATTCTCCACTTTATTTTATATGCATTTATGTAACTGGTTTGTGCTAGTGCGGATGTCGATATGTGTTTATTTGTTCATCTGGTTATTTGTAATCGAAGAAGATAATGTTGAGCTTTTGGTGGCTGATTTTCATATCTCATCGATTTGGTCTTCTTTCTGTTTGGAGTTGATGCTTCTTCGGTTTCTTAGGGCTTGGGGCTTGTTTGATTGTCAAGTGAAGAAAACTTAGGTTAGGAATCACGGATCTCCACAATGGTATGATATTGTCCACTTTGAGCATGAGCTCTCATGGCTTAGCCTCCCCAAAAGGCCTCATCCATTGGAGATAGTATTCCTCACTTATAAACCATGATCTTCCACTAAATTAACCAATGTGGGACTCAATCCTCAACAATCCTTCCATCGAACAAAGTACACTACAAGCCTCTCCTGATGCTTATGGAGCTCTTGAATAGCCTCCCCTTAATCGAGACTTGACTCCTTTCTCTGGAGCCCTCGAACAAAGTACGTACACCCTTTGTTTGACACTTTAGTCACTTTTGACTACACCTTCGAGGCTCACAATTCTTTGTTCGATATTTGAGGATTCTATTGACATGGCTAAGTTTAGGGCATGGCTCTGATACCAAATGATATGGAATCAACTCAAGGGAAAGTATGGAACGGATTACCTTGATGATCAAGATCAAGAGTCAAGACAACTCGTTTCTAAACTTGTGATTCGAATCACTCCACAAGAGATTTGATCAATACCCCACTTGAATGACTCTAGCATGCAAATTCTAAACACCAGAATTTGCAAAGAAAATCTTAGCTCAACAAAGCTAAAAAAATAGAAATTCTTTTATTTGATTAGAGACATCACATTTTGGAATTAAAAAGAATAGAATTTCTATTTTTTTTAGCTTTGTTGAGAGCTAAGATTTTCTTTGCAAATTCTTGTGTTTAGAACTTGCATGTTAGAGTCATTCAAGTGGTATTGATCAAACCTCTTGTGGAGTGATTCGAATCATGAGTTTAGAAACGAGTTTTCTTTACTCTTGATCTTGATCATCAAGGTAATCCGTTCCATACTTTCCCTTGGGTTGATTCTATATCAACTTATATTTGGATATCTGTTATGCAGGTTCCTTATTCTTTAAATGTTTACTTTTGACTTGTCTAGTCTTCAATAGACATAAATCTCATGCATCTCAATAGTAGTTTGTTTGGTTAGCATTTGAGACCAAAAAAAGTAGTCTAGATGATTGCTCAAAAGGAAAGGGTATATATATATGAATGCATCGAAGAAATTTAATTTAGTTGTTTTTGGCGTTTCATTGATTCAATCTGAAAAGGGTAAAATGAAAAGTATTTTTTGGTCGTTTCCTTGATACGTGAACTTGGGTAGTATTGACACACTCATAGCAGCTGCTAGTGATTTTAGTGTTATGATTCTGGAGATCATTAATATTAGATGACTTTATTTTAATGGTGGATGTGTTATTCATTGTGTAGGAGATTTAGATGGCTCTGATGTACAAGAAGAAGTTGGCGGGGATATAGATTCAAGAGAGACGACCAAGTTACCGAAATCAGCATCCTCTTCAGGTGGGTTTTATCAGTGTTCTTCAAAAGGACATGTAAAGGGGATATGAGTGCTTCACATTATAATGGTGGATATTTCAAACTTTATGTACAAGACTTTGTATTCTATTCCCCAAGAACTTGTTTTCAGTCTTTTAGGGTAACTGTGGTCTTTGGGACACCAATTATCAGATCAGGTCGGGACCCTTGCCACAATGAACATGTGAATGACTCGATCATTATGCCATTTTTGGTATCATCAAAGCATTTGGAGATTTCGACAGGGAAAATTTTTCATCGGTTCGTACGTCTCTGTCTTTAATTTTTGTTTTTATGCAACACTGACGTTTGTCCTTGGATGTGTAACAGGTGGATGTGATGAAAATATCTTCAATTTCTTGTTGAATTGAAATTTTAATGTTTCTAACACCTTGATATTCATGAATTTTCCAGGGAATTCTTTGACGTGCTACTAAGACACGTGGTTTTGGATAGTATTTGATGTGAAAGTGTTTTCATTTTCAGGCCACCAAGCACAAAATCCCTTGCTGTTACTTGAGCAATATAGTGACGATGAAGTTGATGAGGACTTGGATACAAATTCAGATCATGATGGGCAAGATGCTTTGTTACCTGACCGAACGGATGAGGTATTTTTCTTTCTTTTATCGCATGAATTGCATATCAGGCTTAGCACTTAATAAACTTGATTTAATTTTCTACATTCATTAATTTTAGGCATTGCTCTTGTATGAGTAGATTTATTTGCGGCTCAATCCCCCTCCCATGAGAATGATTAGTTCTGCCTTAAATTCCAATAAAATGTATTAGTTCTTTATAAGTGTGTGGAAACTTCTTCCTAGTAGACGCATTTTAAAAACCTTGAGGGGAAATCCGAAAGTGAAAGCCAAAGAGGACAATATTTGCTAGCAGTGGGCTTGGGCTGTTACAAATGGTATCAGAACCAAACACCGGGTGGTGTACTAACGAGGATGCTGAGCCCAGGTGGATTGTGAGATCCCACGTCGGTTGGAGAGGAGAATAACACATTCTTTATAAGCGTGTGAAAACTTCTTCCTAGCAAACGCGTTTTAGAAACCTTGAGGGTAAACCCAAAAGTGAAAGCCAAAGAGGACAATATCTGCTAGCAGTGGGCTTGGGCTGTTACATATTTATTGCTCAGATGGTGAAGGTGCTGTTTGATATGGTAATTAAAAAGAAATTTAGAAATTATGTAAACACAAGGTAAGTTGAAAATATTTTCGATGGCTACATTCTTGAATATGGGTTTGATCCCAATTTGAAGATAACTTTTAAACACACGTAAGGTCATATGTTCTCCCAGATGAGCTTCACTATCTTCCTTTTTCTACATTTGACTTGCTCTTTTTCCTTGATGTAATGATTTTTGTGCGTGTTAACAAAGTTCACTTCTATTCTTAATAATATTCTGCTTCATTGATATCCTTGATTTCAGGTTTCTGCTGAGGGATGTGAGAAAATGGATGCAAAGGTCAGTGAAGATCTCATCGCTCAAACGGCGGTCCAAGAGGAATCAGAGCGGGATTCTGTTGAATTTTCTGAGAACCTAGAGAGCAAAGATGAAGGAAAAACTGATACTAATAACTTGGGATATTTAAGCAAGGAAACTGATTTGGTTCAAACGTCTGTACCGGCCTCCTCTGATGTACAAGTCGTAGGGGACGTTATTTCAGGATGGAGGATTGTTATGCATGAGGAGAGCCATAATTATTATTATTGGAATGTTGAAACTGGGGAAACTTCATGGGAAGTACCTGATGTTGTTTTGGCTCAGGCTCAGCCTACTCAATCGACCACTGATATTAAAACCTCTCCTACACAATTTCCAGAGAACGTTACAGTCTTTAAACACGAATATTGCTTAGCTAACGGTGGGAAGTTAGATTTGTTTTCAGCAGAAAGCACAGGTGACTGTTTTGTTAATGTCAGTGTTTAAAAATTGTTTAAATATAGGCCTAAAGTGAATGATCAAATTGAAGGTTACAAGAATGGTGCTCCAGTATGTGCAAGTCAGGGTTCTGAGGTTGACCAAAGCTATGCTGCCTTCAGTACTTGTTCAAATGATGTGAATATAGCAAAAGCTGGTTCCGAGATCTATGTTGATTACACGATGACTCATGAAGAATCGAAGTCTGGGTTGGATCTTCCTTCGCATCTTCTGAACTGGAGTGCTAGCTTGTTAGAGAGATTGAAATCATTACAAAAGTAAGACTTGACCTGTTCACCTCAATTGAATATTGACTGAGTTGGAGGTGTTATATGAATATTACTGGCATTTCAAGGGTAAAATTTAGAATATGCCCTTTTTATGTTAGCATAGAGAAATGGACTTTTGGTTTTACGTTACGTTTTTGTACTAATGGCGGAAATATTAACTACAGGTCTGGGGGTCATGATTGGACATCAGAGTACATACAGGAAACTCAGATAAGACTCGAAGATTTGAAGTCGCTGATGCCCTATAAGACATCTTTGCTACCATTCTGGGAACACTCAGCAAGGAAGCTTAAACAGATTGAAGATGACATTAACAAAGAAATTTATCAGACTGCTGCTGTATCGTCGCAATTGGATGAAGCCAAGGCTACGAACGTTGGGTCTGAAGTCGAGAGAGTGGCTTGTGGTGGTTATGCTTCGGAGCATTCTCATTTGCGTACTGTCATTGCAAATGGAGAGAATATTTCATCGTCTAATGCAATCGAACACTTTGGAAACACTACTGCTGTGATTGAGCAGGTAAGTGAAGTTGTAATTGACGAAATGGCTTCCAAGAGTGGTGTACATTCTGTGGAAGATGTTGACATGGAGGTAGATATGGAAGTTGAAGATGCGAGTTCTGCAGGTAACTTGATGGTGACTGGTACGTCCGATATGTCCGTTGTTAAGTCGTTTACTTCCTCTGAGCAACTGCTTCTGCCAGATCCACAAGCCCAGCCAAATCTTTCTTCTGGATATGAATCCATAGTGCCAGAGGATAGCTCTATGGTGCCACCACCACCAGATGAGGAATGGATCCCCCCACCACCACCTGATAATGAAGATATTCCTCCACCGCCACCTGATGAGCCAGCTGAACCATTTTATCCTATGCCTCCATCTTATACCCAACTTGGCCAGCCTCCTTGTTACACCGAACCATATCAAGTGTCTTATCCTGATTCTAGTATTAAGTATTATACACATCCTGTCCCTGAAGCCATTCTTAGTGCAAACTTTTATGGACATCCAGAAGCATGTAACGTTGTTTTGGCTCAAGCACCATTCTACTATGAGGCAGTTCCCAATTCACATACTGATTCTTCTCCTGTAGTTGTAAATGGTGTCGTGCCTGAAAGTTACGGTATTCTTCAAGATGCAACAACCTGTCTTCCCGTCTTTAGCACCGCAGAGCCTTCTCAGTTGCATGTTGATGTCTCATCTGTGAGATTTGAGCCTTCTTCCTCTATTCAATGTAGATCTTCTGATATAGCGAATATGAATACTGCTTCTTCCACGGATGAAATTGACAAGGGACGAAAAGAGATCGCATCAGTCTCCTTCCGATCTACTTCGGGCTCACCAACTAATGATGTTCTGCCTACATCTAAAGCTGTTACTGATTCTTCGGCTGTTGCTAATACATCTACAGTCTCCAAGGTTCAACCAAAAGGTATGATATGATAGCAGTGAATCGATCTTTTTAGTCATGATATAGCTTCCCAAAAAGAGGTAAGATTAGGGGACGAAAACATATCGTGTGTACTATGGGCTAGGAGTTGGCAGTACTTATTGTGTAGAGTTTGTTCGGTTAACCGTCGATATGCTGTAAGCTCGTACCTAGTTTTAACTCCTCTAGTGAGATGTTCATGCTATGTTCTTAGCTCTTTACTTAAAACGTGGCCTCCGAATATACGGCATTGCAGATCTGCTCCAATGCTCTTTTGTTTTTTTCCGTATGCAGCTCCGCGCAGTAAAAAGCAGACCGTCACGGTTGCCCCCTCCTTGAGATCTAATAAGAAGGTTTCCAGTTTGCTGGACAAGGTGTGTGTGTGTATTTCAGCTTCATAGATATATTACATAAATGCTCTTTTGGTGTTTCTGATGAGATGCCATAAAATTATATTTTTCGATGCCTAATGGATTTTCTTTTCTGTTTATACTTACTTTGATCGATCAGTGGAAAGCCGCTAAGGAAGAACTTGAAGATGAGGAAGAACCCGAAAATGCGTACGAGATTTTAGAGAGGAAACGAGAACGGGACATAAAGGTAAAATTTTGAAATAAAGAGAGTCCACTGCCTGTGAGCTGGGTTCTTACTCTGATGCTTTTGATGCAGGAATGGCATGCACAGCAGGTTTCCAGTGGGGATGCAAAAGAAAACGCCAACTTTCAGCCTCTTGGGGGTGATTGGTATGAAGCTGAAATTGGTTTTAAAAATCAAATGGTTATCGAACAAGGTCTTAACCGCTAGGATTCAATGATTTCTTTGGACTTTTGTTTTAAGTTCCGTTTGCTACATTTCTAGGCGTGAGCGGGTAAAGCGAAGGAGAGCTCAATCGTCGAGCAAAGTTACTCAATCCCCAGCTGAAGCATCAGTGGATGGAAACCAGCAGCCTGACCTGGCAGAAATCTCAAAAGATCTCCCCTCAGGGTGGCAGGTAAATTCCATTAGACCAAAGATGATAAACTGAAATTAGGAGTTAGAATCGAACGTGGCTATCGAGTTTGAACTTCTGTATTCAGTTCATCGACTTTGTTTTATCTGGTCTTGAACTTCTTTGGTAGAACCAGATGCTAATGTTGTTCGTTCTCTAGGCATATTGGGACGAGTCTTCAAAGCAGATGTATTATGGTAAAGTTAAGACCTCGGAAACGTCGTGGACAAAGCCGAGCAAGTGAAGTGACGTTTATGTTAGTTTTGTAGGGGGAGGCTTAGGATAAAATATAATGGGAAGTAGCTGCTGATGGCATTGTATAGTTTTTATCAGTCTGCTAACTTGTTGTTGTTGTTGTGAGTCACAATTGAGAAGAGGAACATGGCAAAGCCTCCAATTTTGGTGATTGATAGTTCAATCAAATTGTCATTTACCCATCTCTGGGATGGTTTGTCCTGTAATAGGCTTTCACTTACATTCTTCACTTGCTTGCACAAGCCATTTTTTTGAAAAAAAGTGACCGTAATTAAGCTATGTTCATAGTGATGGCGATGGAATCGAGTAGGTGCTAAGTCTGGTTGAAATGTACTTTTGAGAGATTCAAAATGATCTTCAAAATGTACATTTATAATTGCTATTAAGGTTAATGCTAGTTGCTATTACAGGCGAGTTTTAGTGTATATTCGAGAGATTTTAAAATGTTTTAACATCACTTGTCACATTTAAAATTTAAAATTTTATTTTATAACGTTAAATGCAATTTTTATATCATAAGTTTATATATGTTTTCATTATTTTTTTTTTTTTTTGTTTTGGCATATGCTTTTTAAAAAAAGTTCAAAATTTAAATCGAGACAATAATTTAAAAAAAAGTTGTTAAAAAACAAAATACTGAACAAAATAGATGTTAGACGACTTTAAATATTATGTTTAAATAATATTCTGGTCTTCGAGACAAAAACACTTATAGGAATGATGATAATTCCCGTCTCTTACTCGTCTTTTAACCGTCGTCATCCCGAATTTTTTTCTATATTTTTAAGCTTGTGTTTTCCAAATTAAAATATATATTAGGTTTAGTAAGTGGAGAATGATAATTATGATATTATATTGTCCATATGATAAAAAGTTGTGTTCATCTAACAAAGAAGAATTTTTTTAAATAATTAAAAAAAAATCTATCAACCCAACTCAACTAGAGTTGAATTGTAAACTTTGTTCGAGTTGTTCAAGTCATCAATCCAATAGATTAAAAAGTTTGGAATTGATTAAAAAGATTTTTACAAGGAGAAGAACAAAATGAATGCACAAAGAAAAGCAAAAAATGGGCAATGGAAATCATGAAATCCTCCTTCATTCCCACAAATTTCCAATCAAAAAATTCACCAAATAACAACACATAAGAAGAGGAAGAAAAGGACGAACACAAACGAACGAACAGACGATTTCAAGGCAACTAGGAGAATCCCATAAATTCACTCGATTTACGATCCAAATCGGAGAGATTGGAGCCGACAGATCCGCCGCGGAGGATACCAGCAGAGCGCCGGTGGTGCCGACATCGGAAGGAGCCAATATGCGTCGTGGGAGAGCAGAGACAACTCCCCTTGGCCGCAGGGGAGACCTTCTGCGGCGAAGAATGCAAGGACGGAGACACAAGTACGCGAGGGCTCCGCTTCAGATCCTCTAAATCGAAATCTGTGAATCCGATTTTGTTGTGATGATCGAGGCTGTGTCTGTGAGTGGGCCTTGGGGCCCTGTGATCTGGTTTGTGATCCATGGATTCCTTCTCTCAATCAATTCACCACAAAAGTTAAGACGACAAACAAGAAATTGGAGGATTAAAAATGAGATTCTTCGTTTTTGTTTGTGGTTTGATGAACAATTGCTTTGTGTTCTTCTTTTTCGTGGAGAAATGTAAGCAAATTTCGACATTGGTTGTGTTGGCCTCAAATCTTGGTGTTTGCCCAATTCACAACCTTTTGTTTATTTTTAGCCTGCAACTTTGTTGACGGATCCAAGGGAGACAGAGGAGAGGTAGATTAGGGTCCTGATCGCTTCAGCCATGAGCACACACAGTATCGGTCTAGGTGAACCAATCACGACCCACTTCGAGCTTGATGAGCCTTGTGAGATTTATCTCAAAGTTGGATTTGATTTAGAGTCCACAAGTATGTTACTTATTGAGTGTATTTTTACGCTCACTCTTGGTACTTTATGTCTTTTTAGATCGTAGCTGAGGAGCGGATTGCAAGAGCATTTCAAAGCCGAACAAATTTCAAATTGAAGACCTACATTCATTCATTTACAACCGTCTATGCTCGTGAAAGTTTATAGTTGTTATGAGTGAATACAAAGAGTATTCGTTCTTTTTGCCTTATATTCACTCACTCCCGACCCATCCACCAAATAATAAAAGACGATCTAAAATAAAATTAGTTATCAAACGGAGACCTTTTTCATTTTTCATATGCTAAATAACATAATCAGCATACATCTACCAAATTATATAGCAGGAAAACACCGAGTACCATAAACGGGGTCGACAGTTTTTGGCCGAAGTCGATCTTCTCGTTCTCTATTTCTGCCTCTTGTATATCTTTGCAAGGAAGGATTTCAACACTGCTTGTACTGCATCACTTGGATGAACTTCAATGGCTTTTATAAGCTTCTCGTAACTTTTGCTCTCGTATTCGGCGAATACACCCTGCAAGAACGCCGAAAAACAACTAGATTTATCTCGACACACATGAAAGTTCTAACACCAGATGACAAGGAATTTATAATCGACTTGCTGTAAGTATATCCTATAATAAACTTATGGGAAGTGTTCGGTATTTCGATTTGGTCCCTAAACTTTTGACGGTAGAAAGTAGAACCTCTAGATTGAGGGCTTTATATAAGTCTTTCACTTTGGCTACACAATCCTCATCTGCTTTCCCATAGTTTTCCTGTAAAAGAGAATAAATTATTACTGTTCTTCTTCGTAATACCAAATTTGATAGAGGCAACTTGAAGTTCCCCACTTACATGCAGCAAAGTCTTCTGTTGCTCATCACCAAGTTCTAGTGCTTTCACAACCAACCAAGAACACTTGAAATCTTCAATATCTGTTCCAATCTGAAATACCAATTTAAAAGTCAATCAAGTCTCGGTTTCCACGAATACTGAAGCATAGCACGTCGTTAAAGTAACAGTTCACGCAACGTGTAACAGCCCAAGCCTACCACTATCAAATACTGTCCTCTATGGGCTTTCTCTTCTGGGTTTCACCTCAAGGTTTTAAAACATGTCTCGTAGGGGGAGATTTCCACACCCTTATTATAAGGAATGCTTCGTTCCCCTCTTCAACCGATGTGGGTTCTCACAATCCACCCCCTTTGAGGGCCCAACGTTCTCACAGGCACACTGACCGGTGTCTGGCTTTGATATCATTTGTAACAGCCCAAACCCACCCCTAGCAGATATTGTCCTCTTTGGCACATTACGCATCGCCGTCAGCCTCACAGTTTTAAAATGCGTCTACTAGGGAGAGGTTTCCACACCCTTATAAGGAATGCTTCGTTCCCCTATCCAACCAATGTGGGATCTCACAATCCACCCTCCTTGGGGCACAGCGTTCTCACTGGCACACCGTCCGGTGCTTGGCTCTAATACTATTTGTAACAGTCCAAGCCTACCGCTAGCAGATATTGTCCTTTTTGGGTTTTCCCTTCTGGGTTTCCCATCAAGATTTTTAAAACGCGTCTGCTACGGAGAGATTTTCACACCCTTATAAGAAATTATTCGTTCTCCTCTCCATCCGATGTGGGATCTCACATCAAGCCCACCGCTAGCAGATATTGTCCTCTTTGGACTTTCCCTTCTGGGCTTCCCCTCAAGGATTTAAAATGTGTCTAGTAGAGAGAGGTTTCCACACCCTTATAAAGAATGCTTTGTTCCTTCTCCAACCGATATGAGACCTCATAATCCACCCCTTTGGGGTTAGCGTCTTCGTTGGCACACCGCTCAGTGTCTAGCTCAGATACCATTTGTAACAGCCCAAGCACAAGCCCACCTTTAGCAGATATTATCCACTTTGGCATGCTACGTATCACCGTCAATCTCACGATTTTAAAACGCGTCTACTAGGGAGAAGTTTCCACACTCTTAAAAGGAATGCTTCGTTCCCCTCTCCGACTAACGTGGGATCTCACAACCCACCCCTCTTGATGTCCTCGTTGGTACACCGTCCAGTGACTGTCACTAATACCATTTGTAACGTCACTAATTCAAGACAAGAAAATTAAGGGCGTTACACAACGTACCTTCCCTATCACATCAGGATGACCAAAACAATCCAGATAATCATCCTGCAGAAAAGTTGGAATATTATATGGCTTTGGAGCTCAAATTGAAGCAAAAAGGCAATCTTTCAGTGCAACTTCCTAAGCCACATTGGAACGTTCAAAGAGATAACAAACTACCTGCACTTGGAAATAGATTCCCATATCAATAAGAATGTTCTTAACATCATTATGATTGTCCAAATTTTCACCTGCCATTAGTAACGCACATGCAACCTAAAGCAGAATCAAAGCAGTTCTGTCAGTGTAGATTTCTGAATTCTACAAAAGAAACAAATTCCAAGGACAGAAGATATGAAATTCATTAAGTTCTTGATTTGGGTGACATGAATCAAACCGAAAAAGGTTTACGGTTGTGTTCCTTAAGCGACATCTTCTTTCGATGATAAAAACTTACATAAAAGGCAATAATGTACGTACCGGAAGGTAGAACGAGTAATATCCAGTTTTGTACTGAACAATGCGATGATGACTGCACGAAAAGCATTCGAGTGAATGTATTTTCAGAGTAAAAGGCGAACGATTTTGTTAAACTGCAATGTTCTCACTTACAGAGGTAACGAGTACTTCGATAGGTCTTTCTCTCCTTCGAGTGTGGTAATCAAATCAATCATCTGTCCTGAGGCTGTTTGAAATTCCACCTAAATTATGGATACTTGATCAGATAAAGAATACAAGGCCTTGCACTAAGGTATTCTCTAAGACAATCACCTCATTAAACAAATCCAAAAGATCTACGTAATAAGGCTTTTCTCTGAAATGATTTTTGATGATCCTCAAGACATGGTTTCGTAGCATTATGCCATCGTTTATAGCAACCATACCGACCTATAATTAGGAAATACCGGACGGGTTATGGCTGATACACATTTATAAACAGGGATTTAAGTAACGTTGAAGGAAAACAACTCGGTGTCACTAAAATTCACACCTTTGGAACCCTGAACCAGCAAGGTTGACCACGTCGTGTGACGGAATTGTCCATGATATCGTCAAGAACAAGAAAATATGCTTGAAGCTATGAGGAAGATGATAGAAAACAGTGAGTATACAGTGAAATGATGAACCACAAATAAGAGGAACCAAGTAGTAGTACCCATTCAATGCACCAACCAAGTGCAGATGCAAGGAACACTTCATCATCACTAAGCTCTTCCCCTTGTTTTAGTAACTTGTAGCTATCAATGACGGAGAGTCCTCTGTTCAACTTTCCTGCAAAAAGAATTTCGTATCGATCAATTCGTCGTATAAACGCAATACAACAAAATCTTGAAGGATTTTCGGGTGAGTTTCCACCATACCTCCAGGCACATTGTAATCCAGCATCTGCAATGAAAAAAGACCATACAATTCATCAGGATGAACAAAATATTTGCAGCTGTAGGGAGTCGAAAGGAGAGAGACCATGAACATAGAGAAAAAACAAAAATGTTCATATGAATGGATATATTATCATGCCACAAATCAAAAGCAAGAGACAAGCATGGTCTAACTAGAGCTATCCAGGCAAGCAGACTCACTGTCGAGATACTTAGTGTAACAGCTCAAGCCCACCGCTAGCAGATATTGTCCTTTTTGGGCTCTCTTCTGGGCTTCCCCTCAAGGGTTTAAGAGGCATCTGCTAGGGAGAGGTCTTTCGTTCTTCTCCCCAACCGATGTGGGATCTCACAATCCACCCTCCTTCCGGGCCCAGTGTCCTCACTGACACTCACTCCTCTCTCCAGTCAATGTGGGATCTCACAATCCATCCCCCTTTGGGGCTCAACTTCCTCGCTGTCCCTCGTTCCTCTCTCCAATTGATGTAGGATCTCACAATCTACCCCCCTTCGGGTCCAGAGTCCTTGCTAACAGCTCAAGGGCTTTCTCTTCCTAGCTTCCCCTCAAGGTTTTAAGAGGCTTCCACACCCTTCTAAATAATGTTTCGTTCTCCTCCCCAACAATCCCCAACAGATGTAGGATCTCACACTTAGCTTTATATTTCTTTAGTATAAACACTCGGGAGACCACTAGTGCAAGAAGTGAGAAGATACGAACAATCATCAACTAGATCATACCGCAAGAAACCACTCATCTGAGAGTCTCTTCATTGTAGATTTAAGCAAATATCTATGTGAAATTTTCTTGTCATATAGTTCATATTTTGAACGGATGAAAACATTTCCATGAGCACAAAGATGAATAACAAAACTATGTCATAATTTTCTGCAGAACCATGCTCATCTTTGGTAGCAATCCACATCATAATTAAAAAAAATAAGGCGGATACAAGAAAAAGAGGAGCTTAAGACGTTGTAGGCTTTCCATCGGCACCATTGCTAGCAAACACTGACCAGAAGGCCTATCTCAGTCAATTTCGAAGAGTTCCAAGTCAAAACAATCTAACAAGAACTCAAAATCCCCCAATTTCTTAAACAAAATCTCGGATTCATTGACTAAATCATCAAATAATTCATTCATTTCAGCCACTCTACAACGACATCCACATACAAATCAAACAAACAAACAAATCCCAACATGCAAAAATGCAAAAACAAGAACCACATTACATTCCGAAAATGATTCGAACAGCTCAATCCGACCTCAAAACAAGAAAAATCACGAGAAAAACGAAAAGGTAACGAAGTTGGGGACAATGAAATTAGAAAAACGTAAGGTACCCGGTCGACCCATTGGCGAGAATCGTCAGTGAACTCGAAAGCAGAGTCGTGAAGGAGCTCGGATTTCAACAATGAGTAAACCTCCAAGAATTTGGACCTGAATTCACCCATTTTCAACGGAGAAAACAAAGAGAAAAGAAAAAGAGGGAAAGAAGAACTGGTGGATGAACAGTGAAAATTGTTTCGCGGTAGTTTAATAGCCGGTGGATGGGGAGATTGCTAGCTATCGCGCACGTTCAATGTCTCTCTCTGACATATCGATATGCAGTCGTTCACACTCTTAGCATGAGGCCTTGACTCAACCTGTTGATATAATATAAACTCATGATGATTCCATATGGTTCAGTTTATTATATATACGGTTGTACTAGATATAACCCATATGTATATAACTTTTTACTTTACTTTTTACTGTAAATAACAAATTATTTTATATAGTATACAATAACAATTTACTTTATATGTAATTTACCATATATAATTTTATTACGTATAATCGTTGACCTAACACTTAATATTATTTATATACTATAGAATTTTTATATTACTACCGTCCTTATATATATTACTTACAATAATACTCTAATAACATTGTATTATTCGTCCAAATTAAATAATTAATTATTTATAAATAAGTGAATAAATAATTTCACACACTATACAACTCAAGCTCTATTGTAGAAGGGCATTGTTGCAATAGAAGACAATGAGAAGGGTATTTAAGTAAAAAGGCTCATAATGGAAGGAGAACTACTTAAGTCCTCAAGAAAATTTAATTCTTTAATACATATATATATATATATATATATTTTTTTTTATTTTTTTTTTTTTATTTTTTTTTTTTTTGAGATCGTGGGATAAGATTACCAGAAGAACCAAGAGATCTTAAATTAATGTTGCTCGAACGACGTTAAGTGATCATTTTGCATTAATCCATTTAGGTCTAATTAGAAAAATCTGGATCTAGAAAACCTAATTCACTTTCGAATTCAACTGTCCAAGATAAACACATGTCTAATGGGAACACGCACCGGACCAAGCACGACTTAAATGAATAAAACCAAAGATTTCAAGAGAGACGAAAGGGGAAGAACTTTGATCGAAGTTAAAAATGTTGTGATCGGTTAGGTTTTTATTGACTTTGTAATAAATCTAACTTAAATAAGCATACGTAATGATGTTGTTAAAATTAAATAACAAAATAACCATGTATGACGTATATAATATATATATATATATATATATATATATATATATATCACAAATTCATATAAAAAAAATATAAATGAGTTAATAAAACTCTAATAATGGCTTATTTAGAGTTAAACATAGTTATGAATATAAAAATAATTAATAATAAAAAGTGGGCATAAATTAATAATAAGTAAGTAGATTTATAGGGTAAGCCAATATATTATTTAATAATAATAGTAATAATAACTTGATAAATATTTGTACAATTTAATATTATTTAATAAAATATAATTAAATAATGAATAGGAAGTGGCTATGACAGATGAAATAATGTTAGAAAATAATTTCAATTTATTCGTTATTAAATGATTATTAATGGTTAAATTAAAACATATTGATTTTTTTTTTTTTTTTTTTTTTTTTTTTTTTTAATTTTGAAACAAAGATGATAGAGTTAAAAGAAAATCTATCTCCACCGTTATATTGGGAACACTATAAATGCTGAATGAAGAAACAAAAAAAGTTTGCGCATCCGGGGAATCGAACCCCGGTCAGTACCGTGGGAGGGTACTATGATACCACTACACTAGATGCGCTGAACGCTCCTAGTGTTAAAATATAAGTATATAATTTTTTTGACTCGGTAAACACAAAAGATTCCGTTGCCGGGAATCGAACCCGGGTCTCCTGGGTGAAAGCCAGATATCCTAACCGCTGGACGACAACGGAGCTTATGCATAACAACCACGTAGAAGACTACATATTAAAATATGTTTGGTACTAAATCCCATGTGGCATTCACATTCACTTTTGCTAAGCCACTTAATATTATTTAATAAAACTACATAATGAAATAAATACGTCCAAAGTTTAAGACGTAAATCTTACCATTCTTCGTGCAAGCCCGAACGTCAACTCTCGGTCTATATTAACTTTAAATTCTCAATTAATAGATTTATAAAGAGATTAAATATTTTATAGTCCAATCTTATACAAATTTATCGTATAAGTACTCTACTCACATGTTTGTAAGTAATTATTAATTTTTAATAATAGTTCTGATTATTTATTTGAAATTTAATATTATCCATGGTATGAATATCTAAAATTATTTATATAATTTTGAACCGTACGTAATTGACATATAAGAAGTTTATGTTCAAGTAATAACCTAAAGAATCGTTTTTTGGCAGCATTATTGATATGGTCCATTTTATAATTGTTACAAATTATTTATTTCAAATCGTTTCTGTGGAGACATGTGAGTGAAGTATCCTATACAATGAGTTTGTATAAGATTGAACCACGAAATATTTAATCTCTTTTTAGAAATTCGTTGATTGAAAAGATTAATATTTCATAGGATGATCATATGTGACTAAATATTAATTGAGTTATGAATTTTTGCCTGTGAGGGCTTGTCCTTTGATTTGCTTGTTCTAGTCCGTTCAGTATGTCTACCATGTTAGAAATTTACTAAATAGGAAGTTGGGAACATAATTTCGCGAGATGAAATTCACTTCTTTTCATATAAGAAAATTAGATGAGTTGTTCTCTTAAATGCTAATTTCGAGACTTGCAATAAGGCTTACCCTTTCATCAGTGGTCTGAGAGGGATTTCGTTTATAGTTGGATCATAAACAAATTTTTGATTAGAGAATTAAGTAGTACTTAAAAGTGAAAGACGTAATTAAAAGAGTAAAATAGACTTTTAATCCAGTTGTAATTACGAACAACTCATGAAATATGAACTTGCTCGTAATAATTATATCAATGGACACAACTTATCTTACACTACACAAGAGTGCAACTCTGTGTCTATAGTAGAGTGATCTATAGTTAATGATTGTAAGGTGGGTCTATTAATAATGTTATTAGAATAAGACTGTAACGACCCTAAATTTCCACGTACTCAGAGTTGCTACTAGCGTCTCATGCTCATCTCTAATGCGGAATATAACTCTTACACATGAACATCATTTATAACTTATATTTCGAAAAATGCTTAAAACCTTTATGTGTTTAAATAAGAAATACTGAAATTCAAATAAAATAAAAACAAATATAAAATAATTTAAAACAATGAAATGCAAAACAACCTATTCACATGTCACAGTCTCTGTAACGGCTAGATATTGTCCTCTTTGGCTTTCCCTTTCGGGCTTCTTCTCAAGGCTTTAAAATGCGTCTACTAGGGGAAGGTTTCCACACCCTTATAAATAGTAGTTTGTTTTCCTCCCCAACCAATGTGGGAGATCACAGTCTCTGCTCGCGATGTCGCTGTCCTCCGTACAAGTGCACCTTGCCTTTACATGAAAGATGACATGGCATACGGCCTCATTATTTCAAACAATACTTAGCAAGTGGCCCCACAATAGGAGGCCATGCAAATGCAAACACATGCAATCATGATTGAGAGATCTATCTCTAAACATCATAAGGGTAGCCTCCAGTCTTAGACAAATTGGATGTGTAGTACTTCCCTACACGACTCACACGTGCGAGTGTGAATCTCCAGGGCGCTTGCACATCCCTTGGACCCTCGAATCAAGCTAATCTGTAGCGACGTCCGGAGGTCAGCAGAACCTCATAGTGTCATGTGGTTCATGAACACCCTCATCTGTGCGCATTCGCACTCGTACACATTTACACTCATCATCATACTATGCGCGTTCGTACTCATCATCTCTAGGGGAAGTAGCCCTATGCTTATAAACATACAATATGCATGAGGTCCCTCTAAATCCATCGTAATCTCTTCTGACACAACCCTCAAGTCTCATCTCTTTGTTACTTTAGGTATCACATACTCGTGGATATTTATATTAATATCATTTTCATGCTCTTAGGGTTGTGTCCTATGTCTATGTAACGACATGATGCAATATGACACTCATTATCATATAATATACTCAATATGGAAAACAACATCATATTAAGGTAAACGTCACACAATTATCATACTCATCATATTGCCATAAAGCGCATCAAGCATATCAAGTACGTCATTCATCGATATATATATATATATATATATATATATATATATATATATATATACTACACACATCATCATACACTTATACATCATCATATATTAACATACAACAGAGTTCATACATCATCATTACTCGTACAATTTTTTATCATATCCTAAAGTAAGGCCACTCACTTGGTTGACCTTAATCGGAGTACTCCCTAATTTAATTATCGTAAGCTCCCACTCCTGAAGAACTACTCCAAATGTTGCTAGAGTTCGTTTCCTATCGCACCGTTCGTCACCTTTTGTTAATATTTTACATTTTAATTAATAATCAAACTAACAACGTAAAATACGACTCTAAAACGGCATCAATAAAAATCAAATTCTATGGGTACAAATTATGATAATTTCTCATATCTTCTATTTTCCTTCTCTCACTCTATTTCTCTCCTTTGTTGTATTCTTTTGTCCATTTTATTGATTCTGACTTTTTTTTTTTTTTTCTTAAAAATATTATGAATGAATCATGGTTGATTTTAATTCACTGCATTTGCCATTTTTAATTAAATCTGATTTTCTTTTTCTTTAAAAATGTCTATATGCAATTAATGTTTAAATTCTAACCATGAGATGGACTTGATTGTACTAGAGAGTAATTGAGTTAATTATTTACTTACTAAAATTATTATTAATTAGCTAGTCATACTTAACTATAATTAATTAGTTAATTAGGACCATTAACTTATATTAATAAAAATTTTGATTTTCAATCATTATAATTACCTACTTATTGATTATTTATAGTCCATTATTGAGACCAATTTTAATTAACTTATTTATTGATTTAAATGAAAATTGTAATTAACGATTAAAAGGAATTAAATATTTTAGTGTAATAATTATTTTATACATGCTATATGAATTTTTTAAAATTATTTATTAATAATTTATCATAATTCTATATAAGATATAAGATATAGTATATCTCATTTAGGCATTATTCATAATATACTTATTAATATGAAAATTAAACTAAGTAGACATAACAAACTAGGTAGGTCAGGTTAGATGAACATCA